CGTAAGTCTGCTCCAAATGGAATTTATTGTCTGCCAGAAGAGCTGGCTGGCTTTGGAGATTCAACTTCCCATTTCAGCGTCGATCTTGATGTTTACCGACACAGTATTCTCAAGCTACGCGAGTTTGGTCCCTGCTTTAATGCGTGTTTCAAAGACATTATTAGATAATCTAGCAATTGGTTGTAAACTATCTTCTCGTGGCTTTTAGCTATAGCCGGTGTTCGGTGAACACCACGATAGCTATGGGCATGAGATCGGTTACCGCTTCCAAAGATAGATGCAACGCTCTAGTACTTCCAAATGTCTGGAAGAGTTGCACTTGACTGGAGTGGGGAGAATAGCTTAGATATGAGAATTGGAGCATATGTTATATGCTTTAGAATGCATGGCGGGATTTTGTCCGTTCCATAGGAGTTGGCGTTGATAGTTGTTTGATAGATACTCTAACAGTTTCTTCATTAAAACCGATCTCCTTATCAGCGCGTTCTGTCAAATCGATGGATTGGTAGATTGGTTCTCCCTCAACTGTATAGTTATTTGAGAAATACTTGCCGAATAGGTTTGCTATCTGTTTGTAGTTTGTTGTAACTTGTCTTAATTCATCAATCATAGTTCGGTTTTCAGACTTTCGGTGATTATGCGTTTGTTTTTGGAAAATTTGAGCTGTTCGTTCGGGCGATTCTAGTGCTCCATGTTGTGCTGCTATTGTCCGATTTGTTTCCATTTTGGTAACTAGGTCCTGAACTTTTCTTATTAGTCGGACTGTGGATAAATAACTTATAGAGGCACAGTGTAACTGTTTTTTAGTTTTTTAGCTTTTCGGAAAGAAAGTGTGGGATTAGTGGTTTCTTATGCGGGGATTTTTCGTCCATCAAGATATCTTGAATTGTAAATAGGGTAGAGTAAAAGAGGTTGACTGATTCCATAGGAAAAGTTGTTAGAAGATATGGGCTCCAGTCTAAAGAAATAATGCATTTGTTCATGGAGTCCTTGTCAAGTTTCTTAGGATTTATGTGGGTGTTCCTAAAATCTGGTGCTGGTTTTATGTTAAGGAGGAGCACCGATATAATTGCTTTATGATCGCCTCCAAAGGTTACGCAATTGTAGTGTGTATAGAGGAGCCAGAAGTCGTTGGTGAATATAACGTCTAGTATTTTGGCAACTCAAGTGGGTTTGTCGACTATTCGTGACCAGTCACGCAGCTGATGAGACGCTCCTTGGTTTAGTCAAGGACGTAGCTATACACCAAGAGGTACTTATTGCTGGGGATTTCAACGCACCTGCAATAGAGTGGGAAACTATGGCAGTTAACGGTGGACCAGCCTCTTTCAGCAATAAGCTACTGGACCTCTTACTCGATCTCCCTCTGGCACAACATGTGAAAGCACCAACAAGATTTCGAGAGAACCAGAGAGCGAATTGTCTAGACCTAGTTTTCACTAAAGACTCCCTAATATCGACGAAGTGTATTCCAGTGCACCTCTCAGGAAAAGTGACCATACTACGCTTCTATGGGATTACTCCCTCTTCTCTAAACGCCAGAGTAGAACAGAGGACCAACCTAATATATGGAAGACAGATATTAACACGATGAAGAACGAATCACTCTCCGTGAAATGGGACCAATTACTCAGGGGAGATCCGGAGGACGACTGGAGATCTTTTAAGACGATTTCAATCGATCTGATTCGGCGCTGTTGTCCACCTAAAGTACAAAAAACAACTAGTCGACCTCCTTGGTTAACTACGGACCT